TCCTCCCATCAGGGATGAAGAAGTTTCATTTGGAGAGGAAATGCAGCCTCTTCAAAATGATCTTCCCTAAGAAGTAATGACCACAGATGACCAGTGTCACTTTGAGTAACTCACTGATGGAAAGTTCCATTCATCCAGATGACTTATTACAGGAGCATAATTTTCATTTATGATTTGGGGAAATTGGGGACCTGAAAGTACCAGTGCCTTCCTATGCTATACTGGGAAAATGAAATTGATTTCTTAAAAACGCTTGTGCTTTCTACTTTGGGCTTTCTACTTTGACAAAGGACAGTCAATGCCTTCCCCTTCTAATTATTAATTTTTACCTTCCACAATGCTGACCTGTCCTCTTTTCTCTGTCACATCTTAAACACAAGAGTACTGAGTGTCCCAGAGAACAGTGGTATGCAATCAAAGCTGAAATTGGTCATGACTTTTCTTTTTGTCATGGTCACCAAATGGAGCTGACACTGTGGCTGATGTAAAAAAAAAGCACATGGCAGAGAAGAAAAGATTGGATTCCATACGGTAGTTTTCAAAATGGTACCTTGCTCTGAGTCTGAGTGGGTTGTACCAAATCATAATTCTAATTTATTGCTTCAATTTTTAAAAAATGCTCTAAAGATGAAAAAAAAAGGATGGGGGAAGTTGTTGACATTTCTTTCTATTATTTTCGCCTTTTTTTCAAAAAAGAAAACAACAACATTAAAATATGGGGGAAAGGGTTTTAAAAGTAGCCTTAAGCATGATACTCTAGCTGCATTCCATTCTGCTATCCTGTTCTTTTCAGGGTAAATCTAATGTGTAGTATTTAGTTCTGGGAAACATATTTTAGGAATGGCTTTGATAAGCTGAAGAGTACCTAACAATGACCAATGAGGACAGTAAAGGGCTGTGTGAGGCAGAGTCAAAGGAATCTTTAGGAATGTTTAGCAAAGAGGAGCGGTCTTGGAGGACATCTAGGATGGCTGTTTTCAAGTAGTTGAAGGCTGTCATTTGGAAGAAGGGTGAGGCTGGCTATCCTTGGTTGTCAAAGACAGAATTAGGACCACTGGGTAATGTTGCAGAGAGGTGGGCTGATTTTCAGGGAAAAAAGCTTCCTAACAATTTGGGTTGTCCAGAAGGAAAAGGGCCCATCTTGATGCATGTCACAGAGGGGATTTTTTTTTTCAGGTAGTCAAGTCAACAAGCATTTATTTCACGTCAGTGATATGCCAGGCACCATGTAAAGCACTGGGTGGGCATTGGACAAGATGGCCTGGAGAAGGAGGTCCTTTTAACCCTGAGATTCTGGAGCTCACTCTTAGGAAATCAATTTGAAAAAGAGCTGAATGAAGTTCCCACATCCATTTGAAGTGAAAATTAAAAAGAACCCAAATAAGGGTTTGTACAGCTATTTACCAATAGTATTTTATTGACATGATTCCAATTATCTCTTCTTCACCATCAGGGTTACAGAGATGTTTCATCCATAACTTCTGGCTTGCCAAGATTCATCAGCAAAGCTGGGTTTACTGTAGGACCAGTTGGGGGCATGGCCTAGGGCAAATAAGACTCTGAACTCTTGCCTTCCCCTACCATTTCAAACTTCTTTATGGTTGACTGATGCCCTTTGTTTTTAATGCCACAGTTATTTACGGTGACTTTTTCTCCCTTCCTCCCCAACTATAAAGGAACCATTCCTTTGTAACAAAAGAGTCAAGCAAAACCAACCAGCAGAGAAATGCATGTAACTTTCCATACCTAAGGACCTGACCTCTCTGCCTGAATGGTAGGAGCTCTGACACATTTAGATTGGGTATTGGGAAAAACTTCCTAACAACCAGATGTATAAAAAGTAGAATTAGCTTCCTCAGGATAGAGTGGGGTCTCTCCTCCCTGAAGGCCTCCAACAAAGACTGGACGATGAGAACCACAGAATCTGCAAGTGGCAAGGGGCCTCAAGTGGCCAACACACAAGGAATCCCATTTGTGGGGTATGTGGAAGCGGTCATTCCTTTTCATGTATTCTTTCCCCCCTCCCCATTTTATTCAGGTGAAATTGGGATAAGATGGACCAAGAAAGAATCCCAAAAGAGAAAAACAGTCACTAGTCACTAAAAGTGTGTATGTGTGTGTGTGTGTGTAGGAGGAAGGACTGCCTGCCTGTACAGGAATGTCAGAATCTTTGATTCATGCACGCGATGCCTCCCTGAGTCACTGACCAAGGGCCATTGGTTGTTTTAAATCTGGAGCCCAGGACAATTAGCCTATCTGGCAATTGCCATATCTGAGGGATGGCTCTGGGCAGATGATATCTAGATGCTTTTGAATCAGCAAAAGGAAAGCCATCTTTTTTTTTTAAGTTAAAGAAAACAATAAACTCTACTTATCATCACAGAAACAGCTCACACCTAAGATTCACCAGGTAAAAGAAAATGTGCTGGGGCAGCTAGGTGGTGCAGTGGATAGAGCACCAGCCCTGAAGTCAGAAGTACCTGAGTTCAAATCTGGCCTCAGACCAAACACTTGACACTTACTAGCTGTGTGACCTTGGGCAAGTCACTTGACCCCAACTGCCTAAAAAAAAGAAAGAAAAAAGAAAATGTGCAAATGAAGATCAAAACTGTTTACCTAAAAGCATCAACTGAGAGGCGGAGAAAAGCCACACGTCTGTTTTCACATAAATACTTCTCTCTTCACTAGGAAAACTGCCCTGGAGAAGAGTCACTGAAGGGGGTTTTGAAGATCTAGAATGGAGGGGATGCGGCCTTGGATACACTATTCAGACATCAGGAAACACCGATGCTTTTGATCTCCCCAAAGATCTTTGCCACTTTCTCACCCATACCCCACCATATACTGTAATAACGCTTGAAGGAAGTTCCTGGGTCCCCCTCTTGACTCCCAGGTAGTTGGAGATATTGGGACCACCCCTTGGCTAAGATATCCTGACCAGGTCCCTCTGAAGAGGGACCAGACCCTAGTGCTCAACAGATTCAGTTCATCCAGTCCAACATTATGAAGCACCAGCAATTGCAAGGCACTGCACCAGCTCTGCCTGTCATCCTAACCCAACCCAACCCAACCCAACCCAATGCAATCCAATCCAATGCAACTCATTTATTAAGCATATACCGCATTAAAAGTATTCTGCTATAGTAACTACATATCTTAATTCAATTCAAGTATTTATTAAGCACCTACAATATAAGAGACATGATGAGAGGTATTAGGGATATAAAGGAAAAAAATCCAAATAATTTCTGCCCTTGAGGGTTTTTTTATATTCTGAGTGACTGTAAGAGCCTTGAAGGCAGAGACTTTCTTTTGACTATTTTTGTATCCTTAGCACAGTGGTTGGCATACAGTAGGTGCTTAATAAATGCCTACTGATCAAATGATTGACCAGTCCTATAAATGCAAAGCCCAGCCCGTGGTAACCTGGTGACTTTTCAAGAAAATTCCCTGTCAAGAAATGAGCTAGGTCTAATCCAATTAAAACTCCTCTCCAGGTCCTTTCTGATGGCTGTTTGAGCCAGTCCCTTCAAAGAACCTTCATTTTAAGGGAAGTGCTTCATACAGGTGATGAGAAGATATTGGCAGGGCCACAAAGCAGCCATGTCCAAGTGGTATCAGCCTACAAAGATCACTAGGGAAACCTATGGGAAATCATTCTTTTGACACTGTTCTCTGGTTACTTGGGGCTTACACCCATATTTAGTTACTTTCTCTATCATCTGCCATTTGTCATCTCCTGAAACACATTTAGTGCTTACAACTGATGTTTACCTTATCTCGGCCATCTTTCAACAGTAAAGGAGGTGCCCGCTCACTTTGACAAAGATGCATGAACACTTTGGGGCCACCAAGCGTAAAGAATGAATTGAACCTGTATTTAGCTACATTTTCCTAAATCAACTTCAGGACCCTGGGAGAGCTAAAGCATCTGGTGAGTACATGCCCAGGGACAACCTCAGATGAGAAGACAACATGGAGCCTTGAAAATGGTATTATCCTCTATTTCTCTAGCGAGGGGAATCTTCAGATATTGTCAGAAATGAGCCTGGAGGCAGGCAATACAGACAGCTGCTTAAAGGCCACTATACAAATTGGTACAGCCAGGATTTCTTTTCTTCCTCCCTCTTCCTTTCTTCTCTTCTCTCCTCCTCTCCTCTCATTCCTTCCTTCCTTCCTTCCTTCCTTCCTTCCTTCCTTCCTTCCTTCCTTCCTTCCTTCCTTCCTTCCTTCCTTCCTTCCTTCCTTCGTACAGTGTATGAAGAGTTCATTCACAGAGTATGAAGAACTCCCAGTATGGAAACTCCCTATGAGTACAGTTTGGCAACTTGTCTGTAATATATAGGATTAGACAGTTACTTAGGGTCACAGCAAGATTAAGTGAGTTGCCTATGGTCACACAGGTATGATGCCTAAGAGGTAGGATGTGAATCCAAATCTTTCTGACTTTAAGGTTATCTTTTCTTATTAATTTGGACATATTTATTTATTTTTTTTGGCTGGACAATGGGGTTAAGTGACTTGCCCTGGGTCACACAGCTAGTAAATGTTATGTATGTCTGAGGCCGGATTTGAACTCAGGTCCTCCTGAATCCAGGGCCGGTGATCTATCCACTGAGCCACCTAGCTGCCCCAGGACATATTTTTAATAGCAGGAAATTGTACTTGCCAGGGCCTAAAAGTATTTACTTTGTGTTAAGTCAAGTGGCCCACATTATTGTGAAATTTCAAAGGCTTCATTGGATATTGATATGTAGGGGCATCATTTTTAAACCTTGCGTGAGACTCTAAAATGTCTGTACTGGCCGGGAGTGGAGACACAGTTGTGGGGATGTATCATTGGGTCTAACTATTCTGTTGTTGCATTGGAAATAATGGCCCTAAGACTGTCAGCTTGGTACCTTCTTCAAGTCCCGAAGACTCACTTTAGACAGCATTAAAAAGCAGACAGACCCACAAACAACACGAATGTCATCAACATACAAGATAGACGGAAGTACCTGACATACTGTTGGGAGTCATGGGTCAGTAAGCATTCTGGATCTTCTTATTTGCTGAAATCACCTGGAAAAAGAGAAGAGAAAGAATGCTCAGAGATGAACACTGACTGGATCCAGCACCAGGATCTCAATTGCCTTTCATAAAAAAAAAGAAAATCTCAGCTTGCTTCCAAAGACATATTGTATGTATCATCTTATTTGTCTCAACAATGTGCCTTTATTCTCATTAACCTCTAACTGAAATTTAGCCTTTCCTTTAATTATTTAAAAATATGATTCTGAGGAGGGGTCCTTAGGCTTCACCAAACTTCCAAAGGGGTCTACAACACAAAAAAGTGAAGAATTTCTTTGCTAGAAAATCAATCTTGCAGATATTTTTGTCTGAGGGGATGGCCAGAAATTGGGTATTTACTTCAATGTTATTTTAAAGTGATTTTTTAAAGCACCCTTAGATCTAAACCCATACGGAATTTTCAGAAGCTTAGCCCCCATGCCATATGTGGATGGATTCCCTATGTTTAAAATATGCCAAAGGCGTTAGAAAGAGGCTGGTAGCCTGAGGTATCACTGTCTAGGCCCATTTCGTGACTAGATTTTTAAAAGGGCTGTTTAAAGCTTCAAAAGATTCTAATGAAATCAGTCAGATGTAATATGGTGGCCAATATCTCCACCAAAAAGGTTTCACTCAGGCAGGACATCATGGCAACTTAGGTTTGGAACCTGCTTTAAAAATTAATCTAAAAAAAGTAAATACTACGCTTCCTTCTCTATTTGTTTACGATCACTCCCCACATTACTTTGCATTAAAATTTTTTAAAATTTACTTTTCTTCCTAAATAGGTTGTTTCTCTCTAGTAGAATGTAAGCTCTCTGAGGACAGGGACTATTTTCATTTTTGCCTTTGGGTTTCCAATGCCTGTTACATTGGATCAGACCTATGATTTCATTGTAAGGATTGCCTGGTAAGGAAATACTCTATCAATTCAGGTCAACATCTGTTCTGCAATATGCAGTCTTAGTTGCTTGAGAAGATAAGATGGCATGCCCAGAGTTACATAGCTTGGTGTGACAGTGGAAGGACTAGAACCTGGGTCTTCTTGACTCCGACCCAGCCCTTTATTCACTATACCACACTGCCTAGCACATAGTAGGTACAATAAAAGCTTGTTGAATTGAGCTGATTTCTTAGAGGGCTCTAGAATAGACCTCAATTCTCTTAACTTCCAGGCCCCTCACCTTGCCTATTACATGAGGCAGCAAAAACAAGCTGCCCAATTGTGTTTCTGAGATATTCTCCACTGCCTTGTGCCTTGGTATGACACTCTGGTGCTGCTACTCTGCTCTAGGACAACACACTTGGTCCATACCCACCACTGTCCCTCAACCCTATTCACTGCTCCAACTTGGTTCTGAATGTGGGTGAGTGAAGTTAAAATCCCTCAAAACACGCTCTACAACCTATCAGAGGACTGGGGTAGGTATGGGAACATGGTCTACATCCCAGGGAAGTTTTTTCCGCAGACAAGCACATAACTTACACAATATTTCCTTCATACCTTATGGTATCAACAAGAATATGTCGAAACAGTTAGATGAAGCCTCATTCCGCAATCATAAATGTGGAGGATGCAAAACCTCAGCTGTGTTCTAGCTTCAGAAAATAGACTCACCTATTTTTAAAATTCTTTTTACTTGTTCAAATCTCAAATGAATGTGTATATTATATAAAACTGTATAATCTGTGAAGTGTGAATAGTATTTGACAGAAAAAAAAATCCAAGATGTTTGAATAAAGTAAAATAATTATACCAGCATGATATTTGGTGTTGGCACAATTATTATATTTCAAAAAACTTGAAGGATTTTTTAAAGCCTAATTGCAGCGAGGCTCTTAATAGCCTTTTGAGGTAGGCAGGTGCTCATCAAATTAGGTGATTCTTGTGCCCACGTCAACTAAATCCATGTACTAGAGGTCAGCAAAGATGCAGGTGAGGAAGCATCTGTCCCTGCTTCTTCATGTTTAGAGTCTATTTCTTCTTCACTGTTTCTTCACCCAAGCTCTTACATTAGCCTCCTAATTTACCTCCCTGTTTCTAGACTCTCCTCTCTCCAATCCATTCTCAAAATGCTTGCTGTCAATGTTACCAACTCCTAGGACCATACCAAGTCCTAAAATGCAGATCTGATCATGTCGCACACACTACCCCCACCCACTGAACACTCTTCAGTGCCTCCCTATTCCCCCATGCTCAACCCAGTATTTAAGGTCCTTCCAGTTCCCACTTACTTTCTGATCTAATTTCATATTACTTTCTTTTATGCACTCTTAGCTCTAGTCAGGGGCTGCTAAGTGGCACCATAGTGCATAGAGCACTGGGTCTAGAGTCAAGAAGACTCATCTTTGTGAGTTCAAATCTGACCTCAGATACTTCCTAGGTGTGTGATCCTGAGAGCCACTTAACCTTGTTTGCCTCAGTTTTCTCATCTGTGAAATCAGCTGGAGAAGGAAATGGAAAACTACTCCAGTATCTTTGCCAAGAAAACCCCAGAGTGGGTCATGGACAGTTAAACATGACTGAACAACTTCTAGTGAAATCATCCTGCCAATGGTTCAGTCTCCCACCTCTGGGTCTTTGTATAGGTAGTGTTGCCATGTCTGCAACGTGCACCATGTTCACTTTTGCCTTCTCCTAGAATCTACAGAATCCTTCAAGACACATTCGGGGATAAGATCCTACACGAGGCCTTTCCTGATCCTCCCCTATTAAGTGTTCCCTCCTTCTTGAAATTACCTTTTATTTTGGACATACTTTATATCTATTTGTCATTGTATATGTTGTACGTCCAGTGAAATGTAAACCTCTTGAGGGCAGAGACTGGTTCACTTTTGTTTCTGTACGAACAGTACTTAATGTATACATATATATTCAAATAAAAACATAATAATATGGATTTGGGGGCTCACAGAAACTCAGAAGTTTATTTTACTGATTCTACCCCACCCCCATCCAATTGTTAATGCTTCTTCCTTCTTGAAATTACTTTTTATGATTTTGTATACACTTCGTAGGTATTTTCTTATATGGCATATGTCCCCAGTACAACGTGTTTTTTGATTATTTGCTTAGAATTAAAATTTTTTTTAGAATTTTTAAGAGATTCTGAATTTAACAAACACCAAATACAATGAATATTTCCATGTATAGAGAAAAAAGGGGAAAAAAAGTGTATTGTACGTGAAATGGTGGCTCTCTTATACACAGCTTGCTTTTCTTTTTAAATATATACATAAAAAGCAAGATATAACTTTCAAAGCTGTCTTTTTTTTGTGATTCTCATCTTCCTCCTACTATTGTCTATGCATTTGAAATTTTTTCTCTCTCTTTTTTCTTTCTGTCTCTTTATTTCTTTGTTTCCCTCCCTCCATTCCTTTCTTCCTTTGTATCTCCAGTACTTAGCACAGTGCTTGGCACATAGTAGACACTTGATAAAAACTAGTTGACTGATTGATTATCCTTTGCTGCCCTCTCCCTCCTAAGCCACTACCAAATTAAAAAGAAAAACAAAAAGAAAGCTCTTGTAATAAACACGAATAAAGTAAAACGACCACCCATATTGTCCATGTCCCAAAATGTCCGTTTCATTCTGCATCTTGAGTACATCATCCTCTGGGGGTGGGGAGCACACTCTATCCTGGGTCCACAAGGATTGCCATTGGTTTTTGGATTGATTAGAGTTCTTCAGGCTTTCAGAACTCTTTCTCAAATCTTTAATGCTGCCGTCTTGCCATAAATTCTCATTCCCCAGGATGATGTAAGCTCCTTGGGCACAGGTACTGATTTGTTTTTCCCCAGCCCTTGGCACTGTGCCCAGCACAGAGCAGGCACTTAATAAATGTATTCCTGTCCTCTTTTCCCAAATCCCCTCCCCATGTGCTTAAAGAAAACTGCTCCATGCATAAGGTATTTGCTCCTAGGATAGAAAAAATCAGGCATATATTTTATTACTCAGATCTTCTGACGAATCAATGGTCCTGTTAGTGCAGGAACTGCCTCCAGTGCTGTGGATTGTGACAGATTCACACACCCACCCAGCCTGTGAAATTCTTGCCCCCTCTTTCTCTAAATCTTCCAATGAAGATCTCCCCAGTATGGCTCTCAGGCTGGTCACCCGCTGTCCCTCTGTCTTCCTGCATAAGTGGCCCCCCTCCACTGACATTCAGACGTACTTGCTGGTCCCATTTTTATTCTATCCAGAGCACAAGTCCTTGTTGGTAATAGGCTTCAGACCACTTACACCCACCATCCACCTTTCCATTACCCCCTAGGTGACCTGTAATTGTGATTCATCTAAGACCATGCTCCATGACTCACAGGCAGACAGCATCCCTGGGAGAATGTTAGAACTATAAGGATGGACTTTTTTTTTTAGTGGCAAAGAAGTTCAGAATCATTGGTAGCGCTACCCAATTGTCCAAATGTGATGTGGCTGAAAACCGTTTCCTCTTCAGAGTTGGGTCCTGCCCAGTGTCCATCTGCAGAACCTGTCTGATACATATCACATCACACAGGCAGCTAGGTGTGAATGCAATGGATTCTGTCATCATTGTTGTTCAGGTTTGTCACATCCAACTCTTCGTGACCCCATTTGGAGTTTTTTTTGGCAAAAATACTGGAGTGGTTTGCCATTTCCTCTTCCAGGAGGCAGGAAGATTTGAGGTCAAATCTGACCTTAAATACTCAATAAGCTGTGTGACCCTGGGTAAGTCACTACACCCCTCAGTTTCCTCATCTTTAAAATGAGAATAATAGGAGCACCTATGTCCCAGGGCTGTTGTGAGGATCAAATGAGATAATATTTGCAAAGCACTTACTCCAGTGCTCGGTACATAGCAGGTGCTATAATAAATGCTTATTCCTTCCTTCTATCACAGCTCCAGAAGTCTAAGGGAGCTCAGAGGTAATTTAATCCAAACTTCTCATTTTATAAAGGAGAAAATTGAGGATCAGAGGTAAAGTGACTTGGCCAAAGTCACAAAGGTAGCATCAGAGATAGGATACACAC